GATAAGAAGAGATGGGTCTGTGTTGCCAGATTGGCACAGTAAAACTCACCCTAGCGGCCATGCGCGAGTAGAGGGCGTTCTGATCCTCCGCTGAGCTCATTTTCTCCCGACGCACCATCTCCCTCAAATCCACACCATCGTCATCCTCAAAGTAGCGCACGCGCTCGCCGGAGACGTGTGTCTCGATCTGCACACACGCACGCACACACACACCCCCACACACACACACCCACACCCACACACCCACAGTGAGACAGGTTATCTTCATTAACAGAGTAACTGCTGCCTTTAATCACTCAGAGTTTATCATGTGAATAAGCTCCTGTTGAAGAACACTAGAGGAGACTCTTCACACACAAAGAGCCAATCACACTTCAGAGAGGGGGCGGTGGGGGGGGGGTCACCCCATATACATAATAAAGCAGATAAACCCTGACAGACTGGATTACTCTCAGAGATTCTGCACACTCTAACAGCAGAACTGACCCTATCTGTAGGCCAGAGGGGTCCAACTTTCTTCAAAGGGGGCCAGATTGGACACCTGAGGGCTGGTCACTGAGTGCCAAAATATTATTCATGAATGATTTAAATATTCAATACTCACAATATGAAAAACAAAAATATATAGATCTGTATTTCAGCGCTGTCAGAACAAAACCTTGCATCTCCATTTCTGTCGTTTTTCAGTTTTTCACATAATTTGAAAATGCGTGTTACCCTTTACATTGTGTGTACATTTCATGATGAATGGACCAAAAGAAACGGCCCAAAATGACTTGGAAAGACGTCTGGTTCCATTGATTTACATTAAAAGTAAAGTATGTTTTTTCCTTCTCCTGTAAAGTTACCATTTTGGAGATTTTGATCCCACAGCAGTGATTTGTTGTACAAACTATTGAATTTGCTTTGATAAAAAGCTGCTTTAGTTTTTCTGTCCTCTTGTCCCCTGAATATTTACTGTAACGTCCATTTCATAAAGCATTTTCATATTAAATTAGTTGCTTTTTCTTAATGTATGAGGCACACATCTGTTACGGCTCTCGATGAATAAAGTGATGCTCTTAAAAGTGCCGGTGGTCACTGTCAGCTGCACTGTTTGCGTGAAGTCATAACTGAATGTCATTCATGTTAACTGTAAGTTAACTGTATGTCCACTGAACTACTGCCACCATCAAGTGACAGGAACAACTGTAACGTACAGGCCGGGGAGCAGAATAAAACCAATCCACGGCCACATTCGGTCCTGGGGCTGGACTCTGGACACCCCTGCTGTTGGCCATTTTCACATTTCCAGGTTCTCACTTCCTCAGTTTCTATAAGCAGGTAATTTTGTTTGTGGTCGAGCCAAAATAAACGGTTCAGTCCGGCTTTAAGGCGTCTCGCTGTTTTCCTCAGAGCCACAACTCCAAACAGAAACAGCCACACCTGGGATTTCATCAATTTCTGACCGAGCACACGTTAGGATCAAAATGGGTCCAGTCAGTCTGAAGGGTAGAGGGTCTTAATTTTAGAGTAAACGCCGGCGTTCATGTCTGCAGACGTCACTTTGCTGAGAGTGAAGCTTATAAGACTCCTTTGTGTCGATTCAGGTTCAGAGGTGCTGCTGTATCTTCCGTTTACTTTAGAATAACTTTCAAAAGCCTAAGATTCGAGAATCTGTTCATTCAGGAGCCACACGGCTCGAACAGGCGATTACAGCCAGGATGAGGAGGAGAATGAAGTCGGCTCCTCATTCAAACTTCCTTTCCACCTTAAACGATACAGCAGTCACCTTAAACGGAGTGCAGGCGCCAGAACGTAACTGCAGCACCGTTTAAGGTGGAAGTGAATATTTGAAGCGACTCATCAGACGTTCAGAGTCTATCAGTTTACTGATCCTGCAGAAGCAGCCTGACCGAACAGAACCGCAGCCACAGAGTTTAACTCGTTGGTCGGTCAGTGCTGGTGGCTGACTTCTTTGAGTAGCCAACTCAGACCAATCAGAGCAGAGTGGGTGAGCTCACCAATTGGAGCATGCTGGGCTCATTTGGAGGCGGGACTTAAAGACACAGGAGCTCTAACAGAGCAGTTCAGACAGAGGATGAACACAGATGAACAGTATGAGGAAAACTAGTGTGTTTTCGGAACACTGCAGCTCCCTTACTGTTGTTGTTGCCGTGGCAAGTCCCAGGCAGCACGTTCACTGCTCCCTTTAATTTACATTTATTTACGTTTATTTATACAGCAGATCCACTTAAAATTCCTCCTTACTTCCAGACATGCTGCAGCACACACACACACACACACACTTTAAGACCATACTTGTGTGTATGTATCCTGTATTTATGAGCTCATGTACGAGTGCTGGTGTATGTTCCTCTCTATATACGTGTCTGTATGTGTGTGTATGTTATACATTCCTCCTAAAATTCCATCTGTGTATAAACATGTCTCTCTCACCGCTTTCCTCTTCCGTCTCCCTCCTTTTGGCTCCACGTGCTGGGAGGGTCCACTGACCGGCCACGCTCTTCCAGAATGGTCGGTTCTGAACAAAACCAAGTCCTTATCCGCCTCTGCCTGAACTGCTCCCTGAGAACAGGTGAGAGAAAGTGATTCATTGACAATATAAATTCTATAAAGTAATTCACAGACCATTTAGATCCTCTAGAGTGATTCACGGACCATACAGATCCTCTAGAGTGATTCACAGACCATTTAGATCCTCTACAGTGATTCACAGACCGTACGAATCCTCTAGAGTGATTCACGGACCATTTAGATCCTCTACAGTGATTCACGGACAATACAGATCCTCTAGAGTGATTGACGGACCATTTCGATCCTCTACAGTGATTCACGGACTGTACGGATCCTCTAGAGTGATTCACAGACCATACTGATCCTCAGACGTGACTCATGGACCATATGGATCCTCTAGAACAATTCACAGATCATACAGATCCATGATTGTCACCATGAAGTCCTCGAGAGTGATTCACAGACCATACTAAAGTCTAGTGTGATTCACAGACTATGTGAATCGCTGTGGAGGATCTGTGTGGTCGTTGAGTCACTGCAGAGGTTTCCAAAGTCTGTGAATCACTCTAGATGATTCATATTCTAGAGGATTTGTGCGATTCAGAGACCAGTCTAGACTGATTCGCGGACCAAATCATTCAAATCTTCCTGTTATACAGATTTTGTTCTACACAAAACAAATCTTCAGGATTCACATACAGTATGAATCTTATTTCTGCTCAGCAGACAAACATGTGTGTGTCAGCAAGTCTGAGTGTGTGCGTGTGGTGCCATCCAGTCTAGAGGCCGAGATATCGCCATGGTTACACAGCATCATAAATCATAGCCTATTATACCAGCTAACAAGCTAAGTGGACCAGAGAAACACACATACATACATAGCTGATCAGTAAGGGTGTAAAAACTAATCTGTTATTCATCTGCACTGATTTTAGAAAATCTGAATCAATTACAATGAACTATATTTACTATACACACTATATTATATACACAATATTTAACATTCACTTATTTAGCCAAAATATAAATGATTGAAATAACACAGTTTTAAGTAAATGTGCTAGGAACAATAAATAAAAGCTTAGTGCATTGATTTTATTGTCTATAATAATCATCCACTACAGTTCCTCCAGCCATGGTGAAATTTGCGATTTCATGATGCACTGAATCATTTCCTAAAGAATCATAATCAACTCAAATTGAGTTGTGTTGAAATGTGAAATTTCACGATGCACTGAATCATGTCCTAAAGAAATATAATTGAACTGAACCAAATCATGGAGAAATCTGATTTCATAAGGCAATGAATCATTTTGTAAAGAATCTTAATTGAACCAAATCGAATCATGGAGAAAATCTAATATATTATAAGACAATGAATCATTTTGTAAAGAATCATAATTGAACCAAATTTTATTGCGGTGAAATTTGTGATTTCATGTTTCGCTGAACGTTTTCCTGAAGAATCGTAATTGAAATGAATCAAATCACGCTGAAATCTGTGATGTCATGATGCAGTGAATCGTTCTGTGAAGAATCATAACTGGATTGTGGTGAAATCTAAGGTTTCATGTTACACTGAATTGTTTCCTAAAGAATCATAGTTGAACTGAATCGTAAGCAGTGCTGCAGTGACCTGTCCCTCACCTGTGAGGGTGGTCTGGCGGGGGGCTTCTGCGGCCGATTCTCTCTGGCCTTCCGTGCAGCGTCCAGCTGAGCCCTCAGAGAGTCTATCAGGGCCTGAACACACAGAGAGATTAGATATGAGACATGATATGATCCTGCAGTGAAGCAGACTAAGAGGATGTAGAGTCAGTGTGAATAAGTATCGGCACTCAGCTTTCTGTACGTACACAAAGATTATACAGGATTACTGGACTGTAGTGAACGTAAACAGTCTGAGAGCGTCTGGCTCAGAGTCAGCGTGCGGCTCAGCTCCACACACACTTAAACATATGGGCAATCATATCCGCACGTCCACCACACCACACATCATAGACACAGTCATAATGTACACTAGAGGAGCAACTTACACAGGTAAAAATCAAATATACAGCAGTGAGTCACCTGAGGCAGTGCTTTACAGTGATTTTATCACAGCTATGTTGTGGCATTAAGTAAAACACGCTTAGCTGTGATACAATCACGCTAATGCACCAAGTGACTTACATAACAGCAAAAATATAGCCTACTTAGCCTGCTAGCTGATTTTTAACCTGTTTAGCCTGCTGTCTTTTAGCTTGTTTAGCCTATTTAGCCTGCTAGCTGTCTTTTAGCCTGTTTATTCTGCTAGCTACCTTTTAGCCCTTTTAGCCTGCTAGCTATCTTTTAGCCTTTTAGCCTGCTGGCTGTCTTTTAGCCCTTTTAGCCTGCTAGCTGTCTTTTAGCCTGCTAGCTGTCTTTTAGCCTGCTAGCTGCCTTTTAGCCTTTTAGCCTGCTAGCTGTCTTTTAGTCTTTTTAGCCTTCTAGCTATCTTTTAGCCTTTTAGTCTGCTATCTGTCTTTTAGGCCTTCGTCCAGGAACTGAGACTCATGGACATTTATTACATTCCCACGCTTGTTCACACCGACTGTTTTGGGGTCATGTTTTCCTGCGTTTGTGATTTTAGGGGTAAAAACGCTGAATTTGGGGTATTTCTGTTCTCCTTTGATCCCCGTCTGCGCCGTCCCTCCCCGTACAGGTCAGCGGCGCTCTTTGATGCCCTCACCGTGTTGCCCATGAGCTCAGCTTTCACCAGTTTGGCTCCGAGTTTGTTCATCTCTTCATCCGTCAGGAGTGGAGCCTCTTCCTCATCTTCACCATCATCTTCATCACTCTCTGAGCTGAGACAGTAAAGAGAAGAGAGGAGAGGAGAGGAGAAGAGAGGAGAGCACAGGACAGGAGAAGAGATGAGAAGAAGAGGAGAGGAAAAGAGAAAAAAAGAGAAGAGAAGAGAGGAAAAGAGAAGAGAGAAGAAGAGAACAGAGGAGAAGAGAAGAGAGGAGAAGAGAAAAGAAGACAGGAGAAGAGAGGAGAAGATAAGTGAAGAGTGGAGAAGAGAAGTGGGGAGGAGGAGAAGAGAGAAGAGGAGAAGAGTGGAGAAGAGAGGAGAAGACAGAAGAGAGAAGAGGAGAAAAGAGGAGAAGAGAGGAGAAGAGAAGACAAGAGAAGAGAAGAGAGGAGAAGAGAAGAGAAAATAGGAGAAGAGAGGATAGGAGAAGGGAAGACAAAAGGAGAGAGGAGAGGAGAGGAGGAGAAAAGAGAGGAGAAGAGAGAAGAGAAAGAGTTGAAGTTTGCTATTATTTTTACTATTATTATTAATTAACGGGAAATAGTCGCCTACTTTTCTGAATAATTAGTCGACTGATAAATCTGATCGGTGATCAATCACGTCTGAGTGCTGTGAACAGAGTGTTTCTCTGTGTGTATGTTTATACCTGCTCTTCTCCACCAGGGCGGCGCTGGTCTGCTGCTGGATTTTCTCCTGCTGCTCCGTTTCCTCCCTCGCTCTCTCTCTCTCCTCCTGTAACTCTCTCCCTCCGCTGCTCTTCCTCCACGCTGGAGCATCATCATCCTCCTCGTCTTGAGGTTTCAGGAATCCCACCGCGCTCTGATTGGACGATGCGGCGGCGGCGGTCACTCCCGGCTTCCTCCAGCTTGTCGCCGGGGTCGGGGGGTCATCAGAGTCGGACGGCTTGAGGAAGCGTCCTCTGAGGGAGGAGAGAGAGAGCTCTCTCGATCGCCTCTCCTCTCTCTCTCCATCCCTCTCTCCATCCCTCTCTCGCTCTCTCTCTCTATCCTTCTCTCTTCCTCTGCCCTGGTTTCTTTCTCGCTCTCTTTCTCTCCTTTGGTCTCTCTCTCTATCTCTGTCTCTTTCCCTGCCCTGCTCTCTTTCTCTGTCTCTCTCCCCTCTAGCTCTCCCCTGGTCTCTCTCTCTCTCCTCTCTATCTCTCCCCTGGTCTCTCTCTCTCTCCCCTCTATCTCTCCCCTGGTCTCTCTCTCTGTCTCTCTCTCGCTCCCTCTCTCCTTCCCGATGACCATCCCTGTTTGAATCTCTCCTCCATCTCTCCCTCTGTTCATCCCCCTCTTCTCTCCTCCCTCTCTCTCTCTCTGGTCTCCTCTGGGTGACGGCTGCCTCTTCTGCCTCCTGTAGTCTCCTCTGGAACTGCTCCATGGACTGAACACACAGACACAACAACAACGTAATTTACAGCAAGTGCAGTATCACCTTTAGGGGGCAGCAGTGAGCAATGTTTGTTTATTTGATATTGGTTTATAAGAAAATCTCATTAGACACTGAACTGACTCCTTGAGAATCAAATCAAACTCATCTGAGATTTCACTTTGTATTCAATTGATTGATAAAGAATCAAGTTGAACTGAATCACAGCGAAATATGAGCTCTCGTTATGTATTTAACTGATTCCTAAAGAATCAAATCAAACTAAATCACTGTAAAATCTGACATCTACGGTACTGAACTGATTCATAAAGAATGAAACTAAACTCAATCACGCTGAAATCTAATATCTCATGAATAGGAACATGTCCTAAAGAATCAAACTGAATCATGGTGAAATCTGAGATCTCATTAGGTACTGAATCGATTCCTAAAGAATCAAAACAAACTAATCATGGTGAAATCTGACATCTACTGTATTGAACTGTTTTGTAAAGAATCAAATTAAACTACATTATGCTGAAATCTGATATTTCATGTACTGAAACATGTCCTAAATAATCAAACTCAGTCATGGTGAAATCTGACTTCATATTGAACGGAACGATGATGAAATTTGAGATCTCAGACATTTAATAATTTCCTAAAGAATGAAATGAAACTGAATCAGGGTGAAATCTAAAATCTTATTTTGTATTGAATCAATTTTTAAAGAATCAGATCAAACTGAATCACGGTGAAATATGAAATTTCATTATGTACTGAATCGATTTCTAAGGAATCAAACCGAACTGAATCACAGTGAAATCAGTGATCTCATTATGTATTGAATCGATTCCTAAAGAAACAAATTAAACTGATTCATGATGAAACCTACAACCTTATTTTGTACTGAATCAATTTCTAAAGAATCAAATTGAACTAAATTATGGTGAAGTCAGACATGCCCACATCACGTTTGTGTGAGTGTGTGTGTGTGTGTACCCCATATCTCTCAGCCACAATGTCGTCCAGTCTGCGCTGCTCTCTCTCCGCCTGCTCCTTCATCCTCTGATAGGACTTCCTCAACCAGCTCAGACCCCCATCCTCCACCATCACCGCTGAGAGAGAGAGAGAGAGAGAGAGAGAGAGAGAGAGAGAGAGAGAGAGAGAGTTTCATTCAAAGTATTTAGGTAAACTGATTAATTGCTCATAATTTTTTGATTAAGTATTTTTTTACACTGTGTGTGTGTGTGTGTGTGCGCATTCATGTTGTAGGGATACACGCAGGGCGCTGTGAGAGCAAAATACTTATTATTTCAGATTTTCCACTATTTTTCATCATCAACATTCCATATAAACTCAGAAGACTCGTGTAGGTTCACTGGTGGTTCTGGATAGTAAATAAAATGTCTATATTTGTGTTGTGGTCATGGCGACCCCTGGTTCCTATCACCACCACTGTAAAGACATCTGAACCATTTCACACCAAACCACTCTGAATCACTCTGTTTACACCTCACACACTGAATTATGGAGCAATTTTGGAAAATGGGTGGGATTCCCCCTTTTTTGTGGGTTATGTTTTCCTATTGATCGGCGATACCTTTTTTAAGCGCAGTATTGCTGCTCTCCTCTGGGGGCAGCCCGCTTCCTCCGTCCTTCCAGTAGGGGTTGAGCTCCAGCCTGTGGAGTCCAGCCTGAAGGACAGAGAGAAAAAAAACACATTTAAAATTTAAATCATGTTATAATTAAAATTAAAGTTAGTTAAAAGTTTTGGGCTGGAGGGATTTGGAGGCGGAGTTTAGAGGGCACCCTGTGGGTGGAGCCTCATCAGTGGATGATTTCACCACAGTCCGTCTGAACACTGAGTCAGCGGCACACCTGCTCCACGCTGCGCTCCCTCTCTCGCTCCGCCTCTTTCTCCGCCTCCTTCTGCGCTCGTCGCTCTGCAACGGACGTCGTCTTCATGGCCAGGAAGTCGAACGTCATCCACTCATCTCTCTATGAAAAAATAAATGATAATAATCAAAGATCAAACCAGGACAGGTGACACACATGGAGAGACAGAGAGAGACAGAGAGAGACAGAAAGAGAGAGAGACAGAGAGAGAGAGAGAGACAGAGAAAGGAGAGAGAGAGAAAGGAGAAAGAGAGAGAAAGGAGAAAGAGAGCAAGAGAGAAAGGAAAGAGAGAAAGAGAGAGAGAAATAAAGGAGAGAGAGAGAGAGCTCTTCAATCTGACTACTAACTGTGTCTAACACTGAAGAGCCTCCCTCTCTCTCTCTCTCTCTCTCTCTCTCTTCTCTCTCTCTCTCTCTCTCTGCGCTGAGTGCGATTAGGGGCGAGTGATTGTAATGATTATCTTTAATGATACTCTGTTCTCAGTACATAATGGGTATGTTCAGCATACCTAGAACACAACGTGCACAGCACAGATACAGATCAATTACAGAGAACGTGTAAACGACAACTACAGCCACGCATACAGCCGGTCAGCTTCACTGCTCAGCGATGACACTTTAATCCTCATGTCGAGGAGTCGCTGATCATGTGATCATGACACTAACAACATGGCGGCCTCAGAGAGACAGCAGGTGAGGAGGCTGGAGATTTCAGGGTCCATATCTCTGGTTTCCTGATGACTAGCCGAGACTAAACCGAGTTACGGCACTCTAAATCTCTCTGGCTCTCCAGAGCTCCGCCGCGGGTAAGCGTCTCGGCAAGGCCGCCTAGGGTGCGCCTAAGTAGGATACACATTTATGAGATTCCAGGCTCCGGATCTCTGGTTCCCTGAAGGCCAGCAATGAGATCCAGGGCTCGGTGGAAAGGGCAGGTCACGCTCTACTGACTTATGGAGTTTGGCTTCGTCGTGGATTTTTTCCTGTGGTTTTACTCATGACATCATCAGCGATTAGTCAACGTTGACTCTACTTTCATCACATAACAGTCGACTTATAAAATCTGAAGTTGTGCAGCCTCTAGCGTACAGTAACTGTATAAACCGTTTAATGAGTAGCTGCTTGGATGGCAGGTTAGTATGATTTTAGTATATATCTATGACAACAATAAAAAATAAATAATACTGCCCAAAAGTATTCAGACAGCCCTTCTACTGAGTGAGTTCGGCTACTTTAAGGTTACTGACACAGGTGTTCAGCTTGTGTAATCTCTATACAAAAGCACTGACCAGCAGAATGGGGCACTCTGGAGCAGACTAAGGTCTCCATGCCCAATGTCCAGCATGGGCTAGAGGGGTATAAAGCCCCTCAGCATTGGGCTGTGGACCAGTGGAGCTGCATTCTCTGGAGTGATGGAGCTCCATCCAGTACCTTTGGGATGAGTTGGAGTGACCCAGAGCTGACTATCCAACATCAGTACCTGACCTCACTAATGCTCAACCAAATCCTCACAGCAAATGTTCAACATCTAGTGTAAAGCCTTCCCAGAAGAGTCGAGGCTGTTACTGCAGCACAAACTCACTATTAACACCTTCATTTCAGGAGAAACTCTGGAGTTTACAGAGATTTGGACACTTGGTTGAAGAATAACAGTCTTCTTAAATGGTGGATTTCATCCGCTCAGTGAAGCATTGTGATATATGGGTTATTGTGCATCGCCATCATCGTGATGTTATACAGCCGTATACAAAAGACAAGGTGCCCCTCAAATTATCTACATCAAAATCCCCCATAACTTAATGTTTATGATGTAAACAGCGTCATTCAGAGTGGTTTTGTGTGAAACGCTCTGTCAGAACCGTTCACAGTGGTGGTGATAGGAACCAGACGTCCACCTCTAAAAGCTCCCTCACAGAAAGTTACTACATGAAATGGTTATGAATTCACTGCCTGATGACCGAGACACTGTTTTATGATAGTTTAGAGAACTTAAACTCCATTCATGGTGGAGGGATACATGCAGGGCGCTGTGAGAGCAAAATAGTCCCCAAAGAAAACTTATTATTTCAGATTTTCCACTATTTTCATCATCAACACTCCATATAAACTCAGAAGACTCGTGTAGGTTCACTGGTGGTTCTAGATAGTAAATAAAATGTCTATATTTGTGTTGTAGCCATGGAGACCCCTGGTTCCTATCACCACCACTGTAAAGACATCTGAACCATTTCACACCAAACCACTCTGAATCACTCTGTTCACATCTCACACACTTATGGGGGAATTTTGGAAAATGGGTGGAATTCCCCTTTAACACATTCTCTACAGAGACAGAGACAGAGATTGTTTACATTCTCTGTAAACAATGTGTTCACTTCGAAAACCAACACCACGTCACTTAACCGGGGGTCCACTCCGCTGTCCTCACAGGACCTCGGCCTGCGGTGTGTTTAGAATATGAATCAGTCAGTCAGTGTACTGTTTACAGTATCGATCCACTAAAGGGACAGTGACAAGTTACTGACCCACTACTAGGAGACCAAGAACTTACTGACCGACCTTTTAGAGAGAGGTCAGCACTGGCCATTACAGCAAAACAGATAAAGGAAACACGATTAGACACAGCAGAACTTGCTGCGTATTGACCATCCATAACATTAAAGGGCCCATACGAGAGCCACTTCACACTTGTGAGGTTTTATTTACCAAAACTGTCATAATTAATTTCTACGTGATCATTTTCCAAACTCTGTGCCTTTAAGACTGATATATGTAAATGAGCTCTGTTCTTATTGGCTGTCCGGTATCATGCCTGATTTAAAAAGCAGTCCAGGCTCAAACACCCCTTATAACATCGGTTTGAATGGGTGGGGCTAAACTGCTGTAGGCTGAATGGGTGGGGCTAAACGGCTGCAGGCTGAATGGTGGAGCTAAACTACTGTAGGAAGAATGGGTGGGGCTAAACTACTGTAGGCAGAATGGACAGGACTAAACTGCTGTAGGCTGAGTGGGCGGGACTAAACTGTTGTAGGCTGAATGGGTGGGGCTAAACTGCTGTAGACTGAATGGGTGGAGCTAAACTGCTGTAGGCTGAGTGGGCGGGGCTTGTGTGACATCACAAACCAATTCAGTTTTCCATGGGATGGGCCCTTCAACGCTTAGCAACCAAAAGATCAGCTTTGGCCTCGTTAATTTTTTACGGTAACAAGGTACCAAATACTGTGCCTACCTGGTTGCTATTGGTTGCGCTGACAGTGGGCGTGGCCTGCTCTGAGACCTTCCATGCTTTGTCCACGCCCTCTGGCTGGGGTGCAGCTTCCACCCACTCATCAGAGTCCTGTGGAGAAACGTGTAAACAAACACCACAGACCCATAATAAACATATAATCCAATAAAGCTGTAAACAAACACAGAGTCACTATAAACGTCAGATTATCTTCTGCTGCGTTTGACCTCTGAACTGTCCGACGAGCCGTTCTCCTCCTGAGCTTTTTCCTTCTTCGCTTTCTTCTTCTTCTCCTTCTTCTTCTTTTTGGATTTCTCCTTCTTCTTCGTCTTACTTTTCAGTGAATGCTCCTAAAAGCAAAGCACAAATCTTAACCGTAAACAACATAACTTTATTAATCAGTAATAAGAGACTCAGACAGTGTAAACGCTGAGGTAACGTTACTTGTTATGGTCTCTTCATAATGATCTCCTGTCAGCAGTCATAATTTAGGCTCAAGTTAAAGTTGCACCATGTATCAATATGATGATGATAAAAGTATATCTATGCTATAGGAGTAAAACCTCACGCCTGCAAAGCAGCAACTTCACAAGACAAAGTAATAACCTTCTTGCAGTTATTTTATTCTGAGTGACTTAAACTGGTCAATAAAATAAAATTGGTCATTTCTGAAATGTTTAAAACAATGTAAAGTCCAGCTGGTATTTTACGATTATGTGAAAAAACAAAAACCGTCAAAAATAGAGACGCAGGATTCTGTCCTAACAGCGACGATACGCTAATAAACTCAGGTCTGGCGATGCAGGTAGACCACATTGACAAGCAGGTGGCAGCAGAGTGCGGCGACTCAAGTCATTTTTTATTAATAATTGGTTCAGAAAGCCTCAGATTGACCCAACACGCTCTCAGAGGTCACCACAGCGACACCTCTCACCTGACCAATCTGCTGCAGCCGCTGGTCGATTTCCGGCAGCATCCAGGTGTCTTCACCTCGCGCCTTCCTCTCCGCCGCCCTCCGCTCCTCATCCTCATACTTCTTCTTCGCCTGAAGAGCGAGAGACACAGAGAGAGAGAGACAGAGAGAGAGTGAGAGACACAGACAGAAAGACAGAGAGAGAGAGAGAGAGAGAAAGACAGAGAGAGAGAGAGAGAGAGGGAGAGGGAGACACAGGGAGAAAGACAGAGAGAGAGAGAGAGAGAGAGAGAGAGAGTGAGAGAGATCAGGTCACTAAAAATCAGACCCCTCTCAACTCTCTGGTGGTCTCTGATGCTGAGTGACGCTCTTCTCTGTACATTTTTATTGATTTATCCTATTTTAGAGCTCCTCGTTTCTAAGGTGAGTGTGATGATTCACACAGTCAGCACCACATTCACCGTTACAGCAGCTCCGCAGTGCTCACATTAACCTCACTCTGCACAAACAGTGCCACCTTCTGGCAGCTACAGGCCACAAAATCAAAACAGAAAACACACAAAATCCTGCTGTTCACTGAGTCTGAGAACCGAACCACAGTACCAGCTCTAACATGTATATGACGTATATGACGAATTAGCTGCTAGAGGTTTAACCACTGAAGCTTTTATAGCACTAGAATAATATAACCTGGGATTATTTCTACAATTTGTTTAATAACACTGGAATAATACAGACTGGGATTATTTCCGCAGCTCGTTTATTACTAGTGGAGCAACATAATCTTAGTTACCTACTGCTCTAGCTTTATTTACCTGCTGGAGGATCTGCTCTAGCTTTATTTACCTACTGGAGGATCTGCTCTAGCTTTATTTACCTGCTGGAGGATCTGCTCTGGCTTTATTTACCTGCTGGAGGATCTGCTCTAGCTTTATTTACCAGATGGAAGATCTGTTTTGGTTTCATTTACCTGCTGGAGGATCTGATCTGGTTTAATTTACCTGCTGGAGGATCTGCTCTGGCTTTATTTACCTGTTGGAGAACCTGCTCTGGCTGTGTTTACCTGTTGGAGAACCTCCTCTCTGTATTTACCTGTTGGAGAACCTGCTCTGGCTGTGTTTACCTGTTGGAGAACCTGCTCTCTGTGTTTACCTGTTGGAGAACCTGCTCTGGCTGTGTTTACCTGTTGGAGGATCTGCTCTGGCTGTATTTACCTGTTGGAGAACCTGCTCTGGCTGTGTTTACCTGTTGGAGAACCTCCTCTCTGTGTTTACCTGTTGGAGAACCTTCTCTCTGTATTTCCCTGTTGGAGAACCTGCTCTGGATGTGTTTACCTGTTGGAGAACCTGCTCTCTGTGTTTCCTCTTCTCTGTTTTTTTCTTCTCGATGTTCGTCTCGCTTTCAAATGTTCCTCCGTACGCCGCCATCACGCCGACGAAAACAGTCGTATAGCGCTTTCGACTGTCGTAATGATCGGCCTGATCTGGCTGGTCACGTGATGCGCTTCGTTTCCCCCTTTCTCGCGCCTTATTGATCCTTGTCAACTGGTTTTAACGTTCAGACCAAATAAACCCTAATCTGATCATCGCTGTCCGTGTTTGTCATTTTTTCGAGCTGTGTGATTAAAAATAAGCGCTGACTGCTCACGTTTCCATGTCAGCTACTACAATACCCAGAAGCCCCCTCCCCCCTCAGCCAATCAGAGAGGCGGACATTCTGCGCAAAACTGAACAGTTCTGGTTCCCGGAGTAAAAACTCCATTTATAATCGCGATTAATTCGATTTTTATGACAATAAAACAACACTATTTGCAAAAAACACCAAAGATTACAGAAGTTGGCAGAAAAAGGGTGGAAGTGATTGGATGAACCCTTTCGCAGTGCTTTGTGGGATGTGTAGTTCATTCCGACAAACACGTTAAGCACACCGTCTGGTATTTTTGTCTTTTGGTCGTTTTTCTAGATTTTTTTTTTTCGGTTTCATTTGTATAAAGTCGTGATCAGATACCAGATTATATAATCCGATTTGCTCGGCTGAAGAGTTTATTTAAGGACTTTTACGAAATGTCTATGGAGAAAATGAATGGAGTTTTAACTTCCGGAACGAGAGCTGCTGAAAAGGTGGGCGGTCACTGATTAAAAGCACAACAACAAAATAAAAGTCCGGCTACAAAAATAACTAATGAATAAAAGCGGAAGTAACACAAATAGTTTGTATTTCATTCAGCATTTATCAGCACAAGAAGTCTGTTATACTCTAATAATAATAATAATAATAATAATGTGTTTATTTATTAAAGTGCTGATAAATTTGTTTTTATATAGCACCAAAAAGAGTTCTTCTATTATGACGACGTCAAGCTTGTAACCATGGAAGAACCCTTTCTGGTGCTATTTAGAACCCTTTTCAAAAAGGTTCTATATAGAACCATCTATAACACATCAGTCTGAAGAACCCTTTCATGAGGCAAAAAACCTTTTAATCATGCAAATAGTCCTTTGAGTGTTCATGGTTCTGTATAGAACCATTGTCTTTTTTAAAGAGCTCTTGAAGAACCATCCTTTTAACAGTATTGTTGCTATAGAATAAACTAAATGTTAGAATGTTTTAACATAGATGTGTAAAGTTTCCTGCCCTGTGATGGACTGGCGACCTGTCCAGGGTGTATCCTGCCTTCCGCCCAATGACAGCTGGGATAGGCTCCAGCAACCCACCGCGACCCAGAAGGATAAGCGGTTTAGATGATGTATGTATGTATGTATGTATGTATGTATAAAGTTTCCCTGTTTAAAAAAATCATAGAACCCATTAAAAGGTTCTGCGGGTTCCTGCTGATATCCAATAGTCTCTAAAGGTATTTACTGTTTTCCTGATGGGTTGATATCGCAGCGTAAAGGACTCTAATGGTCTATTTGATGGTTTCCTAATAGGCTCTAAAGGTGTCCTACAGGAAACTATTGATCTCTTACGGAAACTATTAAAGCCATTCCCGTTAGTATTTAATCCCAATGGTTCTAATGATCTTTCTTCAGCAGGGAATTGTGGGTGTTGAGTTTAAAAGAGTTGCGTTGGCCGGGAATCGAACCCGGGTCAACTGCTTGGAAGGCAGCTATGCTAACCACTATACCACCAACGCTGGAGAACATCTGGAGACATGAGGAAGGAAAAGTCTCCCTCTAGTGGCTCAATCTGGCACAACACTGACCTCTAATAAGGCAACAGCTGTAATAGATAGATAGATAGACAGATAAACAGCCAGACAGACAGAAAGATAGATAGATAGACAGACAGACAGACAGATAAACAGCCAGACAGACAGAAAGATAGATAGATAGACAGACAGACAGACAGACAGATAGATAGATAGACAGACAGATAGATAGATAGACAAACAGACAGACAGACAGACAGATAGATAGATAGATAGATAGATAGATAGATAGATAGACAGAGAGACAGACAGCCAGAGAGATAGATAGATAGACAGATGGATGGACAGTGTTGCTGACGTTGATGGCTGCAAAGAAAACCGCTCCCACATCAACAGACTGGTAAAAGATACCCAACATCCTGCTGCACACGTTAAATAAGCTAATCTTCCTAAAGAAGCAGAGTCTGCTCTGTCCCTTCCTGTGGACAGACTCAGTGTTACACCTCCTGCCCAGTCTGGTGTGAAGGTGAACACCCAGCTATCTGTAGCCTCCCGAGACCTCCATCTTCTCCCAGGTTGTAATTGGTGTTCAGATTAGTCCTGATCCTCCTAAAGTCCAGACCTCCTTCGTCTTGGCCACATTTAATACATTTAATTAAGCTTTTAGATAATATAGGTAATGACCTACAGGTATCTCAGTCTGTAACTGGATGATAGGTTGGACTGGTCAGCTAATACAGACATCCTGTACAGGAAGGGGCAAAGCCGGCTTTACTTCCTGAGGAGGCTGAGGTCCTTTAACACCTGTAGGAAGCTCCTGCAGATGTTCTATCAGACTGTGGTTGCCAGCTGTCTTTCTGATGCCGTGGTGTGCTGGGGCGGAAGCATGAAAAAGAGAGACGAGATGTGACTGGACAAGCTGGTCAGTGTGGAACTGGACTTTGTGGTTAAGGTGGCCGAGAGAAGGACTCTGCACAAACTGCTCTCCATTATGGAGGATGATGGCCACCTACTGCACCATCATCATGGACAGGAGGAGCAAGTTTAGTGGCAGGTTGCTGTCACAGAGCTGCTCAACCGACAGACTCAGGAGATCCTTTGTCCCTCGAGCCATCAGGCTCTTCAGCTCTTCCCAGTGGGGCCAGAGGAGAAGAGAGAAGAGGGAAGAGGAGAGATGAGGACTGAATCTGGATCTCATGTTAAATCACAAATCATAGGCCTTATATCTCATGCTTAATCTTATGTTTCTTTTTATCCATCTGGATACCTTACTGCACATATTGCACTTTCTGCACACCTTATTGCACATCTTGCACATCTGGACACTCCACAGTAGACACTTTATTTTGGTACCAATATCCGCACATATTTATTCAGTACCGTTATATGCCGTTACCTGTGCCTCTTTAAAGTCATTATTGCACTGCGTCTTTTCATCTCAGGTTAAAGATCTTATTCCAGATTGTTGTATTGTTCTTTTTGTGTATATGTCTGTAGATAGGATCTTTCATATTTATTCTTCCTGTTATATTGTTTACATCCTTATTACTGTCCTGTGTTGTGTGACTGCTACTGGCTGCTAAATTTCCTTCGGGATCAATAAACTATCTATCTATCTATTTCTTTATCTATCTATCTAGAGGAGGACATCTGGTTCCCATCGCCACCACTGTGAACATTTTTATTTTTATATTGATGGTCTTTAAAGTAGCTGCTGTATACAGGAGAGCAGCACATTATTCCATCTCAACAAACATACAGGCACATTTAGTGACCGCACGTCTAGGAGAGCCGGCCTAAAAACACAGAATCCAGAGTTCTTAAAAATAACAGTAATTATCACAAAGTGTTACAAAGCTACGCTTCAACTGAATTTAAACGCTCCACAGCCTTGTTCCACATTTCACACTGTAATTTATATTTCGGGTTAAAAGAATACGAACTCACTCCAGCAGAACATTTTCCAGTGAAAATGTTTCATTGCGGTGAAAGAAGGTGGTTGTGGATCTTCCCATGAAAGTGAAACTGGTTTCTCGGCTACAGGTGCAGATTGAATGATTTTAGCTGAGTGTTCGTACAGAGGTGTCACCTAAAGTCATTAGTCTTGAAGACAGTGCTACATTAACGTTAGTGATCTTAGACAGATGTTCAGTAAAGCTCCTTCAGAAAAGTGTTACCTAAGGGCACCACGACATACGGATAAGTGACCCTTCCGCTTTCTTAGATCTCCAGCATGGATTTGAAACACCAAGTCCACATGCATGTCATTTCTGAGGAGTATCTTCATTTGAATAGATCTTAGCTTTATACTGGGAGAAGAAAGTGTAATATTATTCCATATTATATCCCAGGATTTTTCAGATAATGATTCATAGAAGTTTGCTCTGTGATGTTTTTAAAAATGGGACAATGACAATCTCTGATTTTCATACATAATTTGGATACAATTTTTCTTTTTGATTTTCAAAATCGATCAAAGTCACTTGTAAAGAGGAAGGTTTAAGATCAATATATCCACTGTGAACAATTCTGACTCTGTAAGTCCAGAACAGAGCATTTCACCATTTTAACCACTTAATTATGTGGAAATAAAAAAAAAAATCTAGAAATAAATGTCAAAAAAGAAACTCACATTACACTACGGACATTGTCAATCTGACACACACTGTGTTCAAATATCAGCGTGAAGCACTTTTATCCAGGACTGATGGAGTAAAGTAACAGACAGAAGGCCAAATCGGCTTCTGAAGGTGAATAAACAGCCATCAAAATCTTAATTTTAAATTATAATCCAGTGCATTAAGATGAAATCCATCTGAAAAGTTTATGTCCCTTAGACTTCAGTATAAACCACGACAGGATCTGCCTCTGAGCTTTTCTGATCTGAACTCACATTTCAGACATTTTCAAACAGCTGATGGGCGGAAATGTTCTGTAACTCTGTACTTTAATCCAGAGTGACAGGCTTACAGATGTTTACAGGTTTTGTTTGTCTCGAAATTACAAGTTTAAAAGAGCTGCGTTGGCCGGGAATCGAACCCGGGTCAACTGCTTGGAAGGCAGCTATGCTAACCACTATACCACCAACGCTGGAAGACTGCTGCAGACATCAGGAAGGAAAAGTCTCAATCTGGTACAACACTGATCTCCAATAAGGCCACAGCTGATGTTACAATAGATAGATAGATAGATAGACAGACAGATAGATAGATAGATTACTGACACCAATACAATTTAAGTTTAATTTTATATTAAATGGCAGACGAGTATTTGTTGGTGTTTATGAGTTTAAAAAAACAGCAGTCACTTTTCTTCTTTTAGAAAGGTAATGGGACACATTGAACTC